TAATGTAAGACGTCTGTTGTTGAGCAGTGTAACCAAATCATCGTTGTTCTTCTGAGGAAGGCCAACTCACTTGTATTTTAACGGAATGCAATATGTTTTATAAGGAATAAATTAGTTAAGACATGTTATTGTTTCACCATTCTTTCCCTTATCGATCTGGTCAATGAAAAACCCAACCCAATGCCTAGTTCACTCTGCCCGCTACCTAACGAGCTACTGCCCAGAAGGGGTCTGGTGGCAGCAATCCTTAGAAATTAAGAATAGTTAAATTATCCCCTTAGACTTAGTGACCCCAGAATCCGGCAGTATACCAGTACGAAGGCAGGAGCAGCCTTCACCATAGAAGGAGGTAACACGTCCCTTTGGAGAACCTCAGATGGATGCTCTACAGTACTCTGCAAGTTGAGGTAGCTGCCATACTTGGAGCCTGAAGAGAGGCTTCCATAAACAGTCAACAAGGCATTGTAATACACACTGACTCATGATGTGCTATTGAAGCACTACAATGTAGAGAGCCTAGAGACAACATTCGTCTCATAACATCCGTTGTTAAAACTAGCAGATCAGCAAGTTATCATTAACTGGGTGCCCAGTCATATTGGAATCCCAGGGCATGAACGCACTGATGCTGCTGCCAAGGCTGCGTTAGGAGAGCGAAACATTGAGCTGAACATCCCGCTCAGTCAGGAGCTGATAAAGAAGACCACAATAACACGAACTGCCCAGTGGAAAATAGACAAACATAGTATATTAACACCAGTATCACAATAGGCCAGGTGGTACTATCTGGTCACGAATTATGAGAGACCACCACTCATGAAGGATATAACAAGAAGGGAAGAAGCCATCTTCCACCGACTGAGACTGGGATACCCATGCATATGGGAAAACATTGTACAAGTACCAGCAGAGCAGCGTATGTGCAAGACCTGCGACAGCGGAGCAGAAAATTCACTGAAGCACTACCTCATAGAGTGCCCTGGAACACAATTAGCTAGGAGAAACATACAACCCCCAATCACAGCAGAGAAGGTTGCCAAAATGCTAACCACCAACCACTCTCAAGAAACTCTACAATTTCTTACCGAGCATCCACCCTCACGCTAGTGGTGGAGATGTAGTTAACTAAAAAGATGCTGGTCTTTTATCCCAGCACTGGGTGGACCAGCATTTTAGCTTAAGGTCCGCATAGGTAATATTCCTACAAATCTATAAAAAAAAAAAAAAAAAGGCCGTGAAGGTCATTCTACTCAGCGCTCTCAAACCAACAAGACCTCCTCTCAACAAGCTCCTCACAACACAGCAACTCCCTAGCACTGCATTGTATATAATATATATATAGAAAATGCCATTGTGAGTTTCCTTTCTCACCTCCATCCTTAGTGCGAGATGTCCTACATATACGTATGTATGTGAGCTTAACAAAGAGAAAATAGACAAAGATAAATTTGACAACTGGCCACATACGCAACGCTACAACTTTACCAGTTGTTTTCTTTACTTCAGTATTAATATGAATGGTGAAAATGGGTGAGGGCATTCTTATGTCACTCTTGAGAAAAGTGTATTTGAAAGATGTAATGATGCTTAACTTGTATATATATAATTTTATTTTTCTATTTTAGAAAAAAAGTATCAACAAAAACTCTGAAAAACTGAGGACTGGAGTCAGACATGGGGCCGAAGCCAATCCTGTCTTCAAATCCAAAGCCGTTGGAAAGCCACAAAGCTGAAGCTGAAGCCACCCATTTAAAGGGAGGAAGCCAAAGAACATTTATAAAGTCATGAAACGAAAGCCAAGGGTTTCCAGCGACCCCACCTTGAGCCTTGTACTGGCAATTTTACCTGGCAATGCTTGGTAAAGTAAGGTTGTATGTAAAGGTGATTGTGATTGGTGGATTTATTTTTGGCTGTATTACTGTTAGGATGAATATTAAACTATCCAAAGGTAGAATTTTTATAATGATAAACTATTCATTGTTATTTAAGATCACAAGAAATTTCCAAATGTTCGTATATTTGCTTACAAAAAAAAATTATCTTTGAATCTTGTGGCAGCCCTCGTTATGTTGAGCTGCCAATTCATTAATATATATTTTTTAATTATTTAAACAAATATACTAACATTTGGAAATTTTTCATGATCTTAAATAACAATGAATAGTTTATTATTATAAAAATTCTACCTTCGAGAGAAATTTTCAAGATTTTTCAAATACTGTATGATGACAAAACATTCACTAATAAATTTTATATTCATGAAATCTATTGTATAATCATTTTAAATCAAGAGATTTTTCCATTTTGTGTAGTGATACACCAAAACCAATAAATAGAGACAAAATTTCACTATCAAGTTACACATGTTGTGTCATAACAGTCACTGAGTAGTGAGTGGCATAATCATCTGTTAAATTAGTTTGCTTACTTTTTTCTTGTCAGGATAATAATGGGGTTTTATGAATATAATTATATTTGTTTACAATTAGTAGACATCTGTTACAACCTTATTGAAACCAACCTAGTGTAAAAATTAAATAAAAACATTGTAATATAAACAAACGAAGTCCGAGTCCACTTATGACCATCGAGCTGCCAAGTCGTACCATTTGCTTAAACCTAACTGTAACATTTTGCCTACTCTGTATGTACTGTATTGTAGGCTACATATACGTACAGTACTTCTGCTACTGTTTGCCTAGTCCACAAATGGTTAAGTAGGATATTTCTGGTTACTGGATCCAGTAATACAGTTTATGTGTGCAGTTATATATATATATATATATATATATATATATATATATATATATATATATATATATATATATATATATATATATATATATATATATATATATATATATATATATATATATATATATATATATATATATATATATATATATATATATATATATATATATATATATATATATATATATATATATATATATATATACTGTATGGTATATATATATATATATATATATATATATATATATATATATATATATATATATATATATATATATACCACATATATATATATATATATATATATATATATATATATATATATATATATATATATATATATATATATATATATATATATATATATATATATATATATATATATATATATACACACACACACACACACACAGTGGTCCCTCGGTTAACGAGCACAATTCGTTCCAGAAGGTTGCTAATTAACCGAAACCATTGTTTCAATGAGTTTTTGGGTAATTGGTTCCAGCTCACCGAAAATTACATACAAACGAAAAATAAATGTAGTAAAGTACACTTACTTTGAGGTATGCATTTAGAAGGCTCCTGGTTGATGATGATGATGATAATGGGAGTGGAGGAGAAGGGAGAAGATAAGGCATTGGAGTGGAAGAGAAGTCACCCCATGCCACCATTTCACCCATAAAATTTTAGTTCACTTGGTGTAATTCATTTTTATTTTCTTTAAATCAACACTGCACTGCACTATATATTATCAATATGTAAAATATATTTAAAAATGACCAATAATTTGACTGGAAACACAGAAAAAAAGCGTTTATGTTGAAGAGTCTCAAACAAGATGTTCCTTCCTCTGAACCTGTAAACAAACTGACACCAAGCTTGGTGTGTTGAGTGTCTGTTTGGCGCGCATAAAACTAGTTTCCTGTATGTTCAATAATTGTTAAAATGACTAAAAAAATTAATATAAAACATTTAAAATGATTGAATAGTGCAACCTTCTTGATATTTACTAAAATGGTAAGGAATTTAAGCCCTAGAACCGATTACTGTATTGGCGGACTAATACGACAGCTAGTGAGCAAGCAAAAACATGTTGAGGGGCGCTCGTAAGGAATTCGTTAATCGAGGAATTGCTCGTTAACCAAAGTGAAGAATCTTATGGAAGGTAATTCGTTAACCGAAATTTCGTTAACCGAGGATCACTATATATATATGTCTTATGTCTGCAATACAGCATTTCTATACTGCATTGTAGAGTAATGGCAAAGAAGTACTGGGTACTTAATAATTCTACATAAGAAAATACTGAAAATTCACCATTATAAAATTTTTATTTAACAAGTCATTTGAAACATCTATTTTATTAATACATATTTATGTGTGTGCGTGTGTATGGATTGAAAGCCTTGGTAGGCTGAACATTAATCTCCCAGGAGCTGCAATGTTTGTCTTCCCATCGATTTGACTCTTGAAGGACAAGTGGGTGAACATTTTTACTCATAGGCATCTGGGTCCAACCAATCACAAGCCAAAACTAGTATGAGGGGCACTACTTATTTTGGATATCAATAAAAAATGAACTATAGTTCTTTGTTATTTGGTTCAATCAAAGGAGTGTTAGTTACAAGACTAATGAGGTTATCCGAAAACTATATCTTGAGTTTGTGAGACCTCACTTGGATTACGCAGTTCAGTTCTGGTCACCGTACTACAGAATAGATATAGAATCCCTAGAAAAAATTCAGAGGAGAATGACAAGATTAATCCCGAGCATTAGGAACCTTGAGTACAGGGACAGGTTAAAGCATCTTAATTTGCACTCCCTCGAGAGACGTAGAGTGAGGGGCGATATGATCGAGGTGTATAAATGGAAGGCAGGGCTAAACAAAGGTGATATAACCAAGGTACTCAAACTATCCAACCATGAGTGAACTCGTAGCAATGGTTTTAAATTAAACAAATTTATATTTAGGTGCGACATAAGTAAATATTGGTTTGGAACAAGTTACCAATCATCATCATTAACTCGAATAAGCTGCATAGCTTTAAACATAGATTGGATGGATATATGAGCGATAGGGGTTGGGTGTAAACGGGACTGCCCAGTATGGGCCAATAGGCCTGCTGCAGTTTCCTCCATTCTTATGTTCTTATGTCTACAATACAGCATTTCTATACTGCATTGTAGAGTAATGGCAAAGAAGTAATGGGTACTTAATAATTCTACATAAGAAAATACAGAAAACTAACCATTATAAATTTTTTATTTAATAAGTCATTTGAATCATCTATTTTATTAAAACATATTTATGTGTACAGTAAACCCTTAAACTATGTGGCCTTCGCTCCTCCACGGATTGCATGGGGAGCAAGGGAGGTTATGTACATGTGTTCAACAACTTGCGCTACTGGCCGCAAGGGGTCTCTTTGGTGGCGCGGGAGAGTTCCACTGCATCTTAGAGACGCAGAATACACACACATGCTCTTCATATGGTTATTTTATAGTTTTATATTATACTGTATTTTATTTATTTCTAAGTCACATTAAGGTATTGAAATGATTTTTCCACAACTTTCATGTACAATTACCATTTTGTATAAATTTTGCTTTTATTATTTTTCTTAAATATTCTCTGCTGAAATCAACATGGCAATCAGTGGCAAGGGGGATAAAGTAAGCTTACAGTAGAGGTGGTTGTGTGGTGCGCCTTTATACTGAATTAGGCCTAACCAGCCGAGTCGCCAGATAAGCAATTGACAAACTGCCCACTGCTTCCACACAGAATACACACCCATGCTCTACATAATTTTTATATTATATTTTCTTCATTTCTAAGTTCTTTAGAGTATTGAAATGATTTAACCACACCGCTTATAGTTTCATTATATATAACAATGACAGCATGCATTACCATCTTGCAGGCCACAGCTGACTGGCATGTTAGCCAGCTGACTCTCTTCGCATGTCTCAAAAAACAGACTTCTTTGACAATTATTCTACTCTATATAAATGATGTAGCTTAGAAATAAAGAAAATATAATATAAAACTATAAAATAAGAAAAATAAAGAGCATAAGTGGGAAGTAAATGCATTATGGAGTGGGGTTTTCTTAATTTTTTTTTCAATTTTAACTTCCCTTAGGCGAACATCGCGGTTTTGGGTCTTCACAGAGTTTTCATTAACAAAACCCGCGAGCTGATTGAGGGTTGACTGTACATCATATGTTGCGGTGCAGATTTACATTCCTCAAATTATTTCCTGCTATTTTTCTTGTTACGGCCGCCACGATTTTTTCTATTTTTTCCCTTTTTGGCCCTTTTTTTTAACATATTTTCCATATGCTTCTTGCGTTCATTTTCTATTCTTTTTGTTTCTTTGACAATTTCATCTTCAGTTCTTAGTTCTCTTCTGGGTGGATGTTTGGTCTTGGGTCCTTCCTTGCCTTTGAGGAGAGGATGTTTCTTTCCTTGTGATTTTCTGTTGACAGCTGTGGATTGAAGAATTATGAGGAAAGCATTAGTTCACACATAATAAAAGTATAAAATTCCTTAAAAAAATAAATTATTATGTACTAACAGTATACAGGTACATTAAAAATTAATACTGTACATGATTGTCCTATATATGGACAACATCAACTTGTGTAGTGAAGGAATCTGGCTGTGTTAGATGCAATCTTAGCGTAAAACCTTGATAAACTGGGCTTTAATATATCAGAATTAAATTTTTGGGGACTCTCTTAGGTGCTCTGGTCACAAAAAAAAAGAGTGTGTGTGTGTGTGTGTGTGTGGGGGGTATAAAAATTATGCAATGAAAACACTAACTCAATGAATACTGTACAGTGGTCTAATCACATTTTCTATAGGCTTTAGGCCTACCGAGAACACTGAGTATGTAAGCAGGCTGGAGCTGATCGGGTGTTGCTATATTCGTCAGCCTTATTTATTGATTCAGCATTATATTCTGATATGATTGGCCTCTTATGGTTTATGGTTCTTCACGATTAACATAACATCTTCAATAAGGAAAAAATACAATATGTAATTTGTAATATGACTTAAAAATAAAAGGATAAGCTATAATGGAAGGTGTTCACTCAGGATGCATTTGTATGAGAGCTTTAAGCAAATAAGCTTACAACGGGGGTCACTAAAACACACTGTATAGTATTTGATATGAAAATACCTTCCAAACAACATTATTTATTACCTTTGAGTAATAAATGATGGTTCAATTTGGCGACATGTACACTTAGAGAACTGATTAATGAATAAACCAGGGTATATGCAGATACTGTACATTATACTGTAAACTACAATAATTATTAAGTGATGATAAATACACTACAATAGTATTTACTGTAATAAGTGGTGATAAATACAGGCAGTCCCCGACTTACGACGGGGTTAGGGACCCAAATCCAGGTCGTAAGTCGAAAATGCGAAAATAATACATAGAAAATCTAAAATGGGTGTCTCTGTTTCTTCTCAGCACCACAAAACTCTCACTTTTAAGCTTGCCAGCCATTTTAAAGGAAACTACAAACAAAAATTTTGTCAGTACACAGCGTAATCACTAACGTCGGGACTCGAAAATACGTATTTGAAAAAATTTTGGTACGACTGCGGCGGTCGTATGTCTGGGTGGTTGTAAGTCGAGGAGTACCCGTACAGTGGTCCCTCGGTTAACGAACACAATTCGTTCCACAGAGTTGTTCGTTAACCGAATCCATTATTTCAATGGGATATTGATTCCAGCTCACAGAAAAGTACATACAAAGTAAAGCCAAAAACGCATAAAGTCAGAAACACTGAAAATTCCCCTAAATCGCCCTTAAATCACTAAATATATATACACGTACATATGCACTCTTACTCTTAAATCTTTACTGTAATGTGATACAGGTGATTAATTTTTATCTCTTGTGCAAAATATATGACGTTTATATTTAAATTATTCGCTGTCTTGCAAGGATTCCAGCAATGCAAATTATATTCTCCTAACTTTAGTCCGAGATATTATATAAGATAAAAACTGTAAGCCTAAAACCCTGGCTGGGGGAGAGGGAGGGAGGAGTGAGCGAGCAGGATGTGAGGTGATATGTTTGACAGTTGGAGCCGAAGGTCTCATGTGCGTTTATTTAACAGTCCTTAAGTGACTAAGCTTCTCTCATTTTAAAATGCTGGGATTCTTGTAAAATAGTGATTAATTTTAATATAAACAAGCTATAATTTGCACTAGACATACAAATTTTAGTACCGTAATCATTTAGTACATGTACAGTACAGGTTTGCACTTAGGTCATTTATTTCTTTTACGTTTCTTTGTAGTATGGTGTGTGCATGTAAATGAATGAAAATAAAAGAAGAAATTTATGTAAATCTACCCAAAAATACAGTTTAAAAACTTTACATTATAAAATGTACAGTACTACAGTACTGTACACTAATGTACTAAAATTTTTATCTCTTGTGCAAAATATATGATGTTTATACAGTGCTCCCTCGGTTAACGATTTACCTTCCATAAGATTCTTAACTTCGGTTAACGAGCAATCCCTAGATTAACCGAGTTTTTTACGAGCCGACCTTAACATGTTTTTGCTTGCATTTGGCGATCCACCAGCTGTAGTATTAGTCCGCCAATACAGTAAGGGCTTAAATTCCTTACTATTTTAGGAATATCAAGAATTTTATACTAATCAATAATTTGAAAAGTTTAATATTAAATTTTTTAGTCATTTTAACAATTATTGAACATAATTGAAGGTAAGGAAACTAGTTTCATGCGTGCCATCCAGCCTGTCAACACACCAAACAGGTGCCAGTCTCTCTATCTTTTCAGTGGAGGTAACATCTTGCTTCAGACTCTATTCAACTAAACGCTTTTTCTGTGTTTGCAAGCAAATTATTAGTCATTTTGAAATTTGTTTTACATATTGACAATATAAAATGCAGCGCAGTGTTCATTTAAAGAAAATGATCTTGAATTACACCAAGAGAACTAAAATTTTATGGGTGAAATGGTGCCATGGGGTGACTTCTCTTCCACCCCAGTGCCTTCTCTTCTCCCTTCTCCTCCACCCCCTTTCAAATTCCCATCACCATCATCATCATCATCCAGGAGTCTTCTACATACACACCTCAAAGTAAGTGTACTTTTCTACCTTTTTTGTTGAATTTAGGCAATTTTTGGTGAGCTGGAACCAGTTACCCAAAAACCCATTGAAACAATGGTTTCGGTTAACAAGTTTTTCGGTTAATGAGCAACCTGCTGGAACGGATTGTGCTTGTTAACCGAGGGACCACTGTATTCAAATTATTCACTGTCTTGCAAGGATTCCAGCAATGCAAATTATATTCTCCTAACTTTAGTCTGTGATATTATATAAGATAAAAACTTTAAGCCTACTGTATAACCACCAAACCCTTGCTGGGAGGGGGGGAGGGAGGGAGGGAGGGAGGAGGGAGGAGGAGGGATGAGTGGAGGGATGAGTGACAGTGACATGTTTGACAGTTAGCGCCAAGGTCTAGTGAAGTATTTATTTTTTTATTTATGTCCTTTAGATTAAGTTTTTGTTTTTTGCTTATAAAATTTCATAGAAAAGTGACCGGGGAGAATATAATTTACATTGCTGGAATTCTTATAAGATAGTGATTAAGTTGAATGTAAACATGTAATAGTTTACACTAGACTGAAATTTTAGTAATCATTTTGTACATTATTTTGATTACATGTACAGTACAGCTTTGCCCTTAGGACAGTGTGTGCATGTAAATGAGTTTCAACAAATGAATAAAGTTACATATATTTTCCTGATATTTACTCCACTGGAAACGAATGTAAACATAGAATAGATTACTGAATTGGCAGACTAGCCCATCAGCTGATGCTCACAACAAAACGTGATGTTCGTAAGGATTTCGTTAATCAAATTTTTTTTCGTTAACCAAATTGAAGATTCTTATGGAAGGTAATTCTTAACCGAACCGTTTGTTAACTGAGGGACCACTGTATAGATATATATATAAAATATACCAGTATATACATAGAGTATATATAAAATATACCAGTACAGTCGGCCCTTCACATACCCGGGTTTAGCATACATGGATTCGCAAATACGTGGATTGCCCCGCCGGAGGAGTATTCTGTACATTGAAGTAACTGAAGTACATTCAAATCGCGTGCGGCATCGAACACTGGACACCGCCCGCTCCCGCTACCTCATACACACACACACGCATAGCGCTTTGCTTCCTCACTCAGTCAGTCTTGCTGAAACCACGCTTGTGTTGACATCAGCATTGTAGGTTGACCCTGATTTTTTGACCAAAAAATCGTTAATTTATGATATTCCTTGTTTATAGGTCGACCCAAATTTTTGAGGGTATTGGAACAACAAAACCTTCAGTAAAAACACTCTACGTCCTATAAACTGAGGTTCGCCGTGCCTGAAACACAGAGTGCCGAAGGCAAATTGTTTACCATTTATTATTATGACACTTTACACTGAAACACGGGTAGTTTAAAAAAAATATTGTATATTTCCATTCAAGTATTTATTCAAGTCAATTAGGAGGGAATATTATTGTAATACAATAGTGTTTTTAACTGAAAACCAGTACTGTACACTAATGTACAACAATTTTTATCTCTTGAGCAAAATATATGACGTTTATATTCAAATTATTGGCTGTCTTGCAAGGATTCCAGTAATGCAAATTACGTATAATCTCCTAACTTTAGTCTGAGATATTTTATAAAATAAACACCTTAAAGAATAAAGTTATCACCAATCTTTTGTCTGGTAACACAAGGAGGCAGGTAGCCAGCGAGCATGGGGGGGGGGAGGTGAGGTGACAGAGTGTAGTGTTTGTTTATTTATTTGAGATAAGATGTGACAGTTGGCGCTGAAGGCCTACTGTTTATTTATCATTACTTAAGAGTGACTAAGCTCTTCTCATAATTTGCCACCCAAACAACCTGGGTGAATATAACTTACATTGCTGGGATTCTTGTGAGATAGTGATTTATTTGAATACCTGCATAAACAATCTATATTTGCAATAGACATAACAATTTAAGTACCGTAATCATTTAGTAATGTACATGTACAGTACAGGTTTGTTCCACAGTAAAATCTTTTGAACAACGAAAAAAGCGAAAGTCATTGTATTCGTCATGATTTTATCCCACTTTCCACTGTAATACGTATGTCATTTCATCAAAAATATTACATTTCCAAATTTATTTCTGAGAATATATTCATTCAGTCACAGTTAAGGTAAAATATACTTGTGATGTAATATTTTAATGAAAATACCCGGTATTTAGAAATACGGTATCGTAGTTTTCTTTTGTTTCAAATTTAATTAACAAAGATTGATGTTTCAAATGTAATGAACAAAAATTTATGTACAGTATCTATAAATAAACTTTAAAAAATGAATACTTTATGTTTTACATCGTCCTGTGCATACCATA